CAGTCTTGCTCTTTCCTCAAGGATTTGTTTTGCATGTGTATAAACATTAGAGCAAGTCTGCTTCTTTCCTTTCTATAGGACTGCTGGGCAAGACAGGATCTTTATTTGTTTTCATAGAAAAATGGAGAGACAGTCCTGGGCCCTGCCTCCTCTTTGCATGTTGTTAGGTTTAATTGGTTTTCTGCAATTGGTATATTATTTTTAGAAGTCAGCAAATCTCTAACAACAGGATGGTTGCCCCTGAAAAGTAACTTGGCTTGCTCCATAATATTTTCAGGGGATTATATGTCGATATTGGGAAACTGGAGAACGTTCAGTGATGCAAACACAGTAGGGTCAGGATATTTTGCCACCATTTCCCTTCTGGCCACTGGATGGATTTGACATTTCATTTTGTGTGCATTAAAAAAATGAAATGGGGGAATATATGCCCAGAAGAGATAAGCAAAGATTTTCTTGCTCATGTGATTTAAGCTGCTTTAAAACGCGCAGTTCACTTGTTCAGCAAAGAGCTTTAACATCTGAGAGTGTTGTCATATGCAATTCTGCCTTTTAGTATTTACTGCGTCAATTCTGGATGCTAATGTAGAGCAGCCCAAAGTATATTCCAAGCCTGTGTAGGTTTTACAATGGAATTTCAAATGGGGGAGATGGGGGAGAAAAAACCTGATTTAAACCATCACTTATGAAAATGACATCAGGTTTTGGAAATACATCCCCAGTGTGCCAAGGTACACTGATAAGCTTTACTAGATTGTTAAAACTCTGTGTTGTTGTACTTTAAAATTATTTAAAGGTGTATTTGAAGAGTTTTTGCCCCCCATTTTGGTGAATAAGCTCCCAGATCATAGAATAATAGAATCTTAGAGTTGGAAGGGACCCACGGGTCATCTAGTCTAACCCCTGCAATGCAGGAATCTCGGCTAAAGCAGCCATGACAGATGGCCATCCAACCTCTGCTTTAAAACCTCCGAGGAAGGAGAGTCCACCACCAAACAGCTCTTACTGTCAGAAAGTTTTTCCAAATGTTTAGTCAGAATCTCCTTTCTTGTAACTTGGAAGCCGTTGCCTCAAGTCCTACCCTCAAGAGCAGTAGATAATAATGGGGTGGAGTATTTGGGCGTTCGGCTTCCAGTCACATTCAACTCTATGTCTTTGGGATGCTCACAAGCAGAGTACAAAGCCAGCAGCCCACTGGTGCTGTTTCTCTCCCCACCTTCTGACATTCTGAGGTATACTGCCCAGTGGCGTAGCGTGGGGGGTGCCAGGGGTGCCAGCCGCACCGGGCGCAACTTCTGGGGGGGCGCGCTCGCTGCCTCCGGAGTCGCCGAAGTGCCTCGGGCGCAGGCTGTAGCTGGCAGCGGCTCTCAGCGCTTGCCGCGGTCCCCGCCCGTCAGGGCCACGGAGGGCGCGCCAGGCAGCCCCTCCTCACCGAAGGGCAGCGTTTGCCTGCGGGGCTCGGCCAGCGCGCTTGGCTGGCCACGTGGAGTCGCCGAGGAGTCGCCGCCGCCTGCCATGCCGCCCTGGCTGCTTCAACCCCGTCCGACAGCCGGCTCGAGGCTCCTTCCGGCCGGGTCTCCCGACGGGGCGCTGCAGGCGGAGGCTCCGGCACCAAGCGCCACGCCGCCCAGGCTCGGGTCGCTGTCTGGACGCGCGCAGCCCGCCAAACGCGCCATCGGCGGCGCTCTAGTGCCTGCGCGCCAAGACCGCCCACCCGCCCCGACGGGGCTCCCCCACCCGCGCCGGAGGCCGGCCGACGCACTGGCCCCAGAGCCGCCCCCTCCCCGCGCCAGAAAGAAGCCCCCTCCCCGCGCCAGAAAGAAGCCGCGTCGGGACTAGCCGGGCCGGGGAGGGAGACCGAGAAGGCTGCGCCGCGACGCCCAAAGACGCGCGTCTTGGCGTATTAATGACCATGGTTAGGTGTTAGGGGGCGCAAATTACTTGCCTTGCCCCGGGTTAGGGGGCGCAAATTACTTGCCTTGCCCCGGGTTAGGGGGCGCGAATTACTTGCCTTGCCCCGGGTGCTGATAACCCACGCTACGCTGCTGATACTGCCTCTGACTATGGATGTTCCATTTAGCTATTCATTGGCCTGACATCTGTGAATTTGTGTAATCTATCCATCTAAGCAAAGGACTGTTACCACCCCATCTTGAGGAGTGAATCCAACAAGTCAAAAGTGCATAGGGAAATGTTCCCTGAGACCAAGATGAGGGATTCTACGGAATGCAGATAGAGAGAATTGATAAGAATAAGGATCTGTTGTGACATCAACGGAAGCGTACAATAGACGAGCCTTCTTGTGTTTTGGCTCATCCCCCCCCTTTCCCCCCTTCCTTCTCCTTCTTTCCTCTTTCCTCTTTCTTTTTTCTTTCCCATAATGGCTTATGTTCTATGCCATGTACTTTGATATTTTTTGGAGGTTTTTTTGCCTTTTCCATTATTATTATCAAGGATTTTTCTTTTGTAATTTTGGTTGTTTATATTTATCTGTATTTGTTTAAAGCAAAATAAAAAATAAAAAATAAAATAAAAATAAAAATAAAAAACTGACTGTTATCACCCCATCTTGAGGAGGGAATCCAATAAGTCAAAAGTGCATTATGCAAAGAAGTCCTTCCTTTGGACTGCCCTGATGCTGTTGCCAGCCAGTTGCATCAAAAGGTTCTCATGCCATGAGATATGTAGGGGAGGGGACTCCTCCGTTACTCCATGCATAAATTTTATAAATACCTGCCTTATCCTAGACCCCCAACCCCACCACATTCTTTTTTCTTCTTCGTCATCTAAAGGCTTACATTCTAAGCCATAGCTTCTTGGACTCCCAGGATAGGGATCCTGATAGGTTGCCATCGTGCCTGCCTTCCAGCAACTTCAGCAAACTGCTTTCTGTCCATCTGCAGGTGAGGAAGGACCCCTGTTCATTCAAAAGGGACCTGCATGAGAAAGGCTTATTAAAAAAAAGAACATTCTTTGCATTTTCCCTCATTGTTGTCACTAGCAATTTGAATTGTGTCGATGTTCCTAAAGAGGATAACATCTATCCCCAGTTGTTTTCAGTAGCAGCATGAAGCGGGGTTTGGGTTCTTATACTGAAGGTGCTGTTGCTTGAATGCTGCCTTCATGTCCTAGCAATACAATGAAAGTATAGTGGCACCAAGTGGCCTGAAGCCTTAGATGCAAGATTCTTTTTGCACCTCATTCTTCAATGGCTTGATGGAACACTTTGGGCTTGATGCATTTCTGCAATTGATGGTGTTCTTCTGAAGAGTGTGGCATTAAACATAAATGAATTGTGGTGTTTTTGAAGTTCTCTCTCTCTCTCTCTCTCTCTCTCACACACACACACACACACACACACACACACACACACACACACAAGCAACACTGGCCTGTAAGGGGAGAACAACACCAACTCCAACATCCACAGTAAGGCAATGCCTTTGTTTTGACTGACCAAAGTGTCACAAGATAGAGAAGTGAGTAAGCTGTCAAGTTTTCTTGTGCTCTTCGTCAAACTAGAAGTTACGAAAAGCAGGAGGTGGATGCATAGAGGAGCATAGAGGACGCATAGGAGGATGCATAGAACTAAAATAATACAGTGGTACCTTGGTTTTTGAATGTCTCTGTTGACGAACATTTCGTTTTTTGAATGCCGTAAACCCAGAAGTAAATTCTTCGGTTTTCAAACACACCTCGGAAGTCGAACATGAAACACAGCTTCTGCTGAGTACAAGATCCTGAGGCCCAGCTTTCGGCTATTGAGTTTTCGGTTTTTGAACGTTTCAGAATTTGAATGGTCTTTCGAAATGGATTACGTTCCAATACCGAGGTACCACTGTATTCCCAAAATCCACAGTTAGGCAAAACCTTGATTAGGACCAGCCAAAATGTCACATAATAGCAAGCAAGCTTTTGAGTTCTCCAGGTCTCTCCATTCATTCATTCATTCATTGAATGGATGTCGTGCTCTTCCTCTCAAAGGAGCCCAGGGCATCAAGCTGCAAGTTACAAAAAGCAGGGGGCTAGTTGTGGGGGAATAGGCTGAGTATAGCTGAATATTAAGATTTCCAGTGGGTGGATCAGGGATCCCATCCCATGTACAGCTTATTTTCTGTCCCCTTCACTGGGAGTAGTGAAATCATTCAAATCCATTTAATTTGAATACATACAGGTGACAGCTTTTCTTGGCACAGTATTTGAATTACAGTGGTACCTCGGGTTAAGTACTTAATTCGTTCCAGAGGTCCGTACTTAATCTGAAACTGTTCTTAACCTGAAGCACCACTTTAGCCTCCTGCTGCTGCCGCGCCGCCAGAGCACAATTTCTGTTCTCAACCTGAAGCAAAGTTCTTAACCTGAAGCACTATTTCTGGGTTAGCAGAGTATGTAACCTGAAGCATATGTAACTTGAGGTACCACTGTACCTGGGTATTATTATTTTTATATCATCATTATCATCACTGATTAAGCACAGGCATGGAGCTCAATGGATGTTGATTACTACCTTCCTTGGAGCCTTATTTACACCAGATGCTAAAATGTGTGTCCTTCCTTCTCCCTAGAGAATCCTGGGAATTGTTTTGCAACAAGGAGGGTGGCCTAGAGATCCCTAACAGTGAGTTCTCACAAAATTACAATTTCCAGAATTCTCGGGGGCGGAGGAGACGTATAAAGCTGATATAAGTTTATGGTGTAGCTAATACATAAAACAGATCCATGTGTATTCTTTTCTCTTTCGGTGGCAAGGAGATCCTTTAGCTTTACTTCTGCACAAACTCCCATGCTTTAAAGCTTAGTGAATGCAAACCAAAGCAGCTCCGTCATCCATAGTTACAGTGTTTGCATTCTGGTTGGAAAAGAATTAATTTCTCTGAAATATTAGTTCCACCCAGATTTTGACTTTCTTCTTTCTCGCCAGGAGGCATCAGAATACCTGCCCTTCTGGTGGGTGAACAATGGGGCCTTTGTGAATTTCTGCCATTCTGTTTCCCCTCTAGGAGCTGACGATGCTGAAGCCCCCGCACCCTTTCCCAACAGTGAACGTCCCAGCCCACACTCACTATACCATCGGGGCTGTCATTCTCGCAGTGGGGATCACAGGAACTCTTGGTAACCTCCTGGTCATCTTTGCTTTCTGCAGGTATTCAACCTAGTTACTTTCTGCTGCGCAGTATTCCCCGGGATAGGTTTCCATGCTAGCAGCACCAGAGGACGTTGGAATGTATCTAGGAAACAATCCTAGTAGATTGTTGGTCCATCTAGTTCAGTAATTTTGAATCTCCACTGGCCACTTTTCTCTTATTGCATTTTGTTCCTTAAACTGTTCTGCTTGGTGAGTTCTCAGGAAGCTCTTGAAACGGCGAACTGTATAAACAGTGTGCATTTGTTTGAAGGAAAACAGTTAGGAAAAGAGCCTGAGGAATCAATGTTTCCACTCCAAGACAAACTTAACGGTATTGAAACGAGGTGCCCTTGACAGAAAATCGGTTCTCTGTTGATGCCTACGGAATGTTCCACAATTTTCAAGGCATCTTGATTTGTGTTTCCCTAGTGCGCCCTCTCTCTCTCTCTCTCTCTCTCTCTGTGTGTGTGTGTGTACACATACATTTATTATACAGGCTTCCTTTCTTAATTGTGCTTTTAAAGGAAATGGCAGAGGCCTACTTTTTCAATGAAGTATTAACCTATATCTGTGCAGTATTGCAGAATGCGGGTTGAGGGGTGGGGGGGCTTGTGTAGTTATGTGATCCTCAATATGAAAAAAAAAATCCCCTCTGCTTGGAAAACTTGATTTCAAGGAGTAATGTCCAAACGCAGCCCTTTTCCTGTCACAATAGCTTTCTACATGCAGGAAACATGTTTGTATGGCTGGACTCAGTTGTCAACTATATTCTTAAGGGTTTCAGCTCAGATTAAGGTAAACCATCTCAATGAGAACTAGGCCAGAGGCTGTAGAGAATATTAAGCAATGGATGTGTAGTGTCAAGATCTCATGAGAGTAAGCCAGGAAAAAGCAACTGTGGCATGGTCTCATTCTAGTAATGGGATTGAGCTTGCTACAACTTGATATTTATTGCTACTGGGGCTCTTCTGTCGCATGCTGCCCAATATCAAGTGGGTCAAATGTGAGCTGGACAAGGTATCTGTTAGGTGGATTTGTAGCTGGTTGGCTGACCAAACCCAAAGAGTGCTAATTAATGGATCACCGCCATCCTGGGAAAAAGGGACAAGTGGGGTGCCACAGAGTTCTGTCCTGGGCTGGTTGTTGTTCAACACCTTTATTAATGGCTTGGATGAAGGAATTGAAGAGATGTTCATCAGATTTGCAGATGACACCAAACTCGGAAGGGTAACTAATGCTGCAGAAGACTCAGTGCCACAAGATTCAAGATGACCCTAACGGATTGGAAAACCGGGCCCCAACTAACAAAATGAATTTCAATAGGAACAAATGTCATTTTCTACACTTAGACAGAAAGAACCAGCTGCACAAATATAAGATGGGAGAATCTGGGGTTCTTAGTAGACCACAAGCTTAACATGAGTCAACAGTGTGATGCAGCGGCAAAAAAAAGCTCGTGCCATTCTAAGCTGCATAGCAGAATATAGTATCCCAATCAAAGGAAGTAATAGTACCACTCTATTCTGCTTTGGTCAGACCAAACCTGGAGTACTGTGTCTCATTCTGGGCACCATCATTTAAAAAGGATACAGTCATACTTCGGGTTGAATATGCTTCATGTTGAGCGTGTTCGAGTTGCGCTCTGCGGCAACCCGAAAGTAACAGAGCGCTCAAAATGACGTCACGCGCATGCGCAGAAGCGGCAAAAAGCAATATGCACGTGCGCAGATGTGCCATCGCTAGTTACGTTTGCTTCTTGATGTGAACGGGGCTCTGGAACGGATCCTGTTCACATCCCAAGGTACCACTGTATTGACAAACTGGAATGTGTGCAAAGGAGGCTGACCAAGATGATCAAGGGTGTAGAAACCAAGTCTTATGAGGAATGGTTAAGGAATTGTGTGTGTTTAGCTTAGAAAAGAGAAGAAGGAGAGGAGATATGACAGTCACCTTCAAATATCTAAAGGGTTGTCACATGGAAGATAGAGCAAGGCTGTTTTCTTCTGATCCAAACGTTTTCTCATGAACTAATGGCTTCAAGTTACAAGAAAGGAGATTCTGACTAAACGTCAGGAAGAACTTTCTGACAGGAAGAGCTGTTTGACAGTGGAACAGACTCCCTCAGAAGGTGGTGGACTCTGCTTCCTGGGATATTTAAAGCAGAGGTTGGACAGCCATCTGGATGCTTTAGCTGAGATTCCCGCATTTCAGGGGGTTAAACTAGATGACCTTTGAGGTACCTTCCCACACTACATTTCTATGGGTGCCAAGGGTGCTAGGTCAGAGTTCAAGAGCAAGAGTTTCAGGACCATGGCCAGCACTCTTACAGAAGCACAAGCTTGGTGCAACTGCTAGACACAGGGGTCGGCAAGGCTTACCGGGCATGGGCCAGATCACTCCTGCGGAGATCCTCCGTGGGCCAGACCAGCGCAGTGCGGTGCTGGAAATCGCGCATGTGCAGAAGCAATTTTCGGCACAGCGGACATGCACAGACGCGATTTCTGGAGCCACGGAAGAGTCCCTGCGCTGCGCTCTGCTGGTTTAGTGCAGTGTGCGGGGACTCACCGAGCAGACAGCTCGGTTCAGGGGGTGGCTTGTGGGGTGGTTAAACAGCCTCCGTGGGCTGCTTCTGGCCCATGGGCTGCAGGTTGGGGACCCCTGTGCTAGAGCATTGTGGTCTGTTCTCAAGGGTCCACTGAAGGCTTATGGGTAGTTAAAGGACAAGCATCCTTTGGTGCTCCTTTCAGACTGTGAGGTTTGGGGTTTCAGAGATTTGGTCCATGGATACTACCTTGATCCGTGAAGGAATCATTAGAGCATTCCTTGGAGTCCATAGATGAAGGTACATTCTTGATGTTTGGGGGGTGAGGTGTGGAATCTGGTGACACACCAGGTCTACCCAGGATGAGCTAGGTGTGCATCCATTTCCACCTTGGTGCTATGACTGTCCAGCAATTGAAGACTCAGGGTCTGGGGCCATGACATTTCCTCCTTGTTTTTTCCTCAAATAGTGTAGGTTGCCAGCAGAATAAAGTAAAAGATGAGACCTTCTGCAGTTATTAATGTTGCTGGTGATTAAAACACACACAAAACCATTGAATCTAATCCCTGCATTTGGAAACTGCTGCTAATCTGGCCAGCAGTGGAAAATGGCCTCCCTATACAATATGACCCAGATGCAGAAAATCCATAGTACATCTGTTTTAATTTCCCATTAATCACCAGCAGCGGAGAAATGTAGGACAGAGCATTCAGAGAGGCGGGCATTCTATTTGTGTCACTGGGCTAGTGGTGAAAGCCTGTCCATGTGTGCCACTCTGTTGTGAATAGTTGGCCACTACCAACTGGTGGCCCTACCAAATTTTACAGCACCACCCTTTCACTTGTAGCTCAATATTATCTATACTGGCTGGGAGTGGTTCTCCAAGGCTTCAGCCATGGGACATTCCCAGCCCTACATGGAGAGGCTGAACAGGGAATTGAACCTGCAACCTCTTCCATGGAAAGCAGATGCTCTACGAATGAGCTTCCTTTGCACATATCATGCAAATATACCTATTTGTAGGCAATGCTCTGCCTGAATGCATTTCTCTATAACTGGGAAGGCTGTACTGATAGGTGAAAGCCTGAGTCTTGGGAAGCCCTCACTCGTGATCATCTCAGTTGCCTTGGTAAAATCTACCTCAGACCTTTGCACCAATATCTTCAGAATACAGAAGCACCCCAAAACACAAAAGTTGGCTACCCCTGCTGTAAAGATGGGGCTCCAATTCAATTTCTGGTGTGTGTGTGTGTGTGTGTGTGTGTGTGTGTGTGTGAAAATACGAATCTGCCCACACTGGTAACAGAAGTTGCTTACTTTTTTTTTTGTCTTGCTGCTTGTTTTGAACATCTTAGTCTGTACTGTACATTTAAAGCAGTGTCATACCACTTTAAATAGTCATGGCTTCCTCCAAAGAATTATGGGAAATGTCGTTTCTTATGGGTGAAGAGAGTTGTTAACCCTGAGCTACAATTCCCAGGTGGGGGGACGCGGGTGGCACTGTGGGTAAAACCTCAGTGCCTAGGACTTGCCGATCGTATGGTCGGCGGTTCGAATCCCTGTGGCGGGGTGAGCTCCCGTCATTCGGTCCCAGCTCCTCCCCACCTAGCAGTTCAAAAGCACCCTTAAGTGCAAGTAGATAAATAGGTACCGCTTTATAGCGGGAAGATAACGGCGTTTCCGTGTGCTGCGCTGGTGCTGGCTCGCCAGAGCAGCTTCATCACGCTGGCCACGTGACCCGGAAGTGTCTTCGGACAGCGCTGGCTCCCGGCCTCTTAAGCGAGATGAGCACGCAACCCCAGAGTCGGTCACGACTGGCCCGTACGGGCAGGGGTACCTTTACCTTTTACAATTCCCAGAGCTCCCTGGGAAGAGGATTTACTGTTAAACCACTCTGAGGTGGAGCTCTGTGAGGGGAATGAGGCCTCTTAACAAACAACAGTCCCAAGGATTCTATGAGGAAGTCATGTGGTGTGACCCTGACACCCTCTTAAGAGTTACTTGCATTCTCCTCTCTTCTCTCACAGGAGCAGAGGCCTTCGGACTCCCGCCAACATGTTCATTATCAACCTGGCTGTTAGTGATTTCCTAATGGCCGTCACCCAGTGTCCAGTTTTCTTCACCAGCAGTCTCAACAAACGATGGGTATTTGGTGAAAAGGGTATGTGAGAAACAGATTGTCCCCCAAATCATTTAGACTGAACAGGCTGGCTTAGAAGTTTATCAGATTGCCAGTGGGACTGCTGTTGTTGTTGTTTTTAATCAACTGTCATTGAAGACTTAACAAGGAATTTATAATAGTTTGTTGATAGTTTCCCAATTTTTCGCACACCCTGCCTCTTTGGTCAAGAAAAGCCATTCTTGGGACTTGAAGGTGATGTTCCCTTTGCTGTTGCAACCTGAGGAGGAGGAGGAGGATGACTAATATTGCCCCAGCCACTCTGAGTGGCTTCCATTAAATATTTCTTATATTCCACCCATTATATTGGGGGAAATTGCTTTGCAGAAATTCTCTACATTAGTGAAAATTGCTTCCCAACATGTGCATATTAGGTGAAAATAATCTCAAATGCTTCATGAGAACTTAAAACAATCATCATCACCATGAAACGGTGTGGAAATGTGGATAAGTGAATTTAAAGCGAGAGAAACAGAAAACAGAGAGAAATCGAAATGGCGAATAAGTCCCTTCCTACCCTCACCTAGGGTCTATGATTAAATCAAGTAAAAGAAGTGTGCATTTTGATTTGCCTGCTAACTCTGCTGTGCTCTTTCTGGAAAGGTTGCGAGCTGTACGCTTTCTGTGGAGCGCTTTTCGGCATCGCTTCCATGATCACTCTAACAGTGATAGCCCTGGACAGGTACTTTGTGATTACGCGACCCTTGGCTTCCATTGGAGTAATGTCTAAGAAGAAAGCTTTGCTAATCCTGTTAGGAGTCTGGCTGTATTCCTTAGCATGGAGCCTTCCTCCCTTCTTCGGATGGAGTAAGTGAGACAGAATTTTTAAAAATCTGATTACTTGATACTGAGAGGAAAAGCAGGAATTTATAGAACGGGCCTTTTAGAGCTTGTGACAGATGAAAGAGGATTTACATATTTAACAGGAAGAAATTCTCTGTAAGGGAGACGGGTTCGGAGCGAACAAATCTCTAAGACATACAACCAAGGGGAAAAGCTTTGTAGTGCTTACGGTCTGTTCAATTACATTGCAGTGACGCCTGTGCTGGGAAACTCATTAGCGAATTACAGAGAAAAGAGGAGATAAAATCAGGGATGAAAAATAATGGGGGGGGGCATCTTGCATAACATTTGCATAACCTTCTGCATTCAAGCTGAGCTGAACAGCATAAATAATAGGCATGAATAAATACAGGATATTTTCCTGATTTTCATATAGATTGATTGCTCACAATGGGGCCATACTGAAAGCCTTGATGACATGGAATAGTGTGTGTGTTTGATCCAGTTCCCAACATTTTACTTCTTTGCTGTGCTCTAAGGTTAAGTTTTCACAGTGTGTCAAGGAGATGGGGTGCTAGGTGCAAGTTTATGGGAGGGGGCAGTAAAATTGAATATTCATTGCCTCCCCCCCCAGGAGTTAATTTGGAGATCCAATCAGTGTTAGGGTTTACCCCACCAATGCACTACTGTTAATTCAAAGTTCAAATTGTTCATTAGCAATCCAGTGAGACAGGGAGTAGAGCATAGATAGAAATAAGAAACTCAGAATTCTAATTGAAACAGCTCTGTTGGTTTGCTGATGTGCAATGTGCCATTCAAAGCATATTACTATCTTCATGCGAAAGAGAATGATGTTCTGAGCTTTTAATCAAAACATAGCAACATGAAGCAATAAAGCACATAGCAAATCATACGGAGTAGAAATAATATGAGGGTAACATTGTAATAGGTTTTACAGGGCAATCAGAGCTTGTTTCCTAACCTAATTGAAGAGTTGGCCTGCTAATTCCCTCCACTCCATCTAGTTGTGAAACAGAATTTCCATACCATATCCTAATTTACGTAGCATTTTGGAATAAAGTCCACAGTTGGGAGGTAGCACATGGAAAATAGCTAGGCACTATCAGCACATGTTTATTGACAGATGTGCCTTTTTGCCCAGGTCTTTGACCTACGTTGCTGTGCATTGCATTTCTGTGTTGCTGCTTTGTCGTTCTGATATTGGTTGTGTTTGTGGGTTTTATTTTATGATTTTAATTGTACATTGTACTCATTTGAATTTTTATGTTTTTGTATCCTGCCTCGGGACTGTTTAGTGATGGGTGGGCTGTTACTACAAATAATCATAATCATAATAAGCTTAAGAGTTTACTAGTTTACTTGTTTACTACTGTTATCTCTGCTCTGGGAAAACAGGAGTGGTGCAGGCAGACTCTGAGGACATCTCAGCTCAGAGCGAGCATTCTTGCATGGGGAGGAGGGCTATGGGATACCTTGCTGCAGCAACTGCAGTCTTCTTGGAGTGCCAAATGGTGGAGATTGATTCGTTGGCCAATGGGGACCTGCAAATCTCCTGCCCTTCCTGTCATGTCACCTGTGGCAAAGGTCTCTGTGTGGCTAACAAGCTGACCAGGGCTGAGGCCTCATAAAAACCAACTCAATGTGCGTTATCCATGCAAGATGCACCAAAAGCAAATTTCAGTTGCTTTGACAAGAGACTCTTTCGTTTCACGAATAGCTTTAGATGGCAATATGAGAAAGTGCACTTCAAAAAGAGGCACAATTTGATGAGACAGAATAATCACTTACAGAGTATTAGAATCACTGGCTTATAATTAGATTTTCATTGTATCCAAAACATGCACTCTCACGGGACCAATAGGGAAAGCTGGGCTCAACATCTGGTGTGACATTTCCCAAAGCAGAAATGATAGAAGTTATTGCTGGGAATGCTGGGAATCGCCCAGGCTACAGCAGTTTAATGTCCGCAGTTAATTGCATTCCTACACAACATCCATCAGGAGAATAGTTCCTATTTCTTTTGTGTTTCTTTAAAAACAATGTTTATTTAACCACAAACTTAATTATATGTACCAAATTAATTTCTATTCTGCTGGTGGTTTTATCGAGAGCTTTAATAATCTGTTTCATCTTGTGCTTTGTCACAAGAGGTATGGTTCTTTTTAGCCAACAAAAGGAGATGTGTTAGTTGTTCATCAAAGCCTATCAAATAAACCTTCCATTAGCAGCAGGGAATAGAGAGGTGTCAGTCTGCACAATCTAGCTTGTGGCCAGAGCAAGGTTGATAAATTAAAAACCATCTCTGTATTGGGACACCAGGAGTCTTCTAGGAGCTGAAGCAAGGAGAGGACAATGTCAGATCTGAGCTGCACTGAACTTGTTCACACTGTAACACAAATTCATAATGGACCAGTATTATTGTCTTTATTCAGTTTCAGGATATTAATCACCTCAGTGCAATAGCTTGCATCCTAAGGTGCTCTTCCATAAGTGGAAGTCTCTTGTGCAAGAACAACTCACTTGCACATGTGCAGCATACTGGCGATTTTCACTATTCCCTTCCTAAGGAAACTGTCTTATACAGTGACATCTAGTCTTGGTCCACCCAGCTCAGTATTAGCTATTGCTGATCTGCAGCACAGGAAAACAGTTCATGGATCTGATAAGGTGGGATGTAGTCCACAAAAACGTATCCAGAATATAAATTTGCTAGTTGTTAAATTGTCACAAGATTACGCAGCAATGAATCCTATGAGTTAACTACAGACTTTCTAAAGCAAGCAAGCAAAAGGCTATCCTCTGAAATGTGGTTTACAGCATTATTGCACAGCTTTAGTAAGCTTGAAATTAAATTTCTGATTACATTTTAAATTTAAGTTCCAATAACTTTTGGAGGGAAAGCTTATTTTTTATTTTTTTGCCCTGTCTTTCTGCTAAGGTGCTTATGTTCCGGAAGGCCTGCTGACATCTTGCTCCTGGGATTATATTACCTTCACCCCATCGGTCCGTGCCTACACAATGCTCCTCTTTTGCTTTGTGTTCTTCATTCCCCTAATTGCCATCATATACAGCTATTTCTTCATTTTCAGAGCCATCCGGAATACAAACAGGTGAGTCACGCATGTGCTTCCCATTGTTTGCGTTAGTGGAAGGTTACTTTGCCCTCCCCCTTCCCCCCAAAGTTGTGACCTCCAGCCAGTAGGAAACAAAACAGGAACATGAAGTCCAGCAAAAACGGCTGTAGATTCTGCACCAATTTCCCACATCATTTTGATAGGCACTTGGATCAGATTTCAGAGAGATATTAGGGTGTCTGATTTGGAGAATCGCTCCATGAATTATCCGAGGATTGGAACAGACAGAGACGAATCAGATTTTACTTGAGTCTAATTTACAAAGATGAATGAGAACCAGGGTTGCAATTAAGAACTGACATGATGTATTGGATGGAAGGTAAATCTAATTCAGAGCTGTTTGTACTCTTTGCTTTAAAACGAACGTGGAAAGCAAAATTCTGCAACCTGTATAAATTCTGCCAATGGTTATTTCCCTTCGTTTGTGTCTGTCCCCCTTTCCCATCTTTTTTATTAGATTTTGCTTTATTTAATGTATTCTTTTGAAAGCACTTAATGGTGGGTTAGATCCAGACTCCCTTGGTGCTTAGAGCACACTGGTTGAGAAGTCCTATCGATTACAGTGGGTCTACTCTAAAGCATCATTATTAGTCCAGTTTGCCTCTATTTTCATAGTTTGCACAATTTGTTCTGCTTCGGCTGCTGTTGAGAGTTGTCTTGGAGAATCCTTCCCCAGGTCTGATAGGCACAGGAAGGAATGAGGAACATGTGTGGTCATCTACAGGAATCAGAATCATCAAGAACCTGGTTAGCTCAGTTGGTTAGAATGTGGTGCTGATATAGCCAAGGTTGCAGGTTTGATCCCTGTATGGGGCAGCTGTATGCAGGGGGTTGGACCAGATGATCCTCATCCCTTCTAACTCTATGATTGTTATTCTATAGAACTGTAGAATTGGAAGGGACCCTGAGGGTCATCTAGTCCAAACCCCCGCAATGCAGGAATCTTTTGTCCAGCATGGGGCTTGAACCCACAACCCTGAGATTAAGAGTTTCATGCTCTACCAACTGTGCTATCCCATCTAATAAGAAATGACACCTGCATTTTTGTTGCCTAAAGCTGAAGATGGGGAGAAGGCATGTTAAGTGAAAAAAGAATGATACAGGTAGAAGGGAGGGTAGAAGTTTGACACCTTTGCAGCATGGTCAGATGGAAAATGGCATTGCATGCACACTGCACTCTCAGTCTGAGGGGTATACACAATGGGCAGTTCTACACTGCAGGCTTAAACCTCACTGAAAATCACTTGCCCTGTTGAAGTTGTGAAATGTAGTGGTTTTTTTTGAAGGTGCCAATATTAGAGATCTCTGGCACCCTCATTGTCTCAGAGCTGTAATTCTTAGGGTCCCTTTATTGGTAACAATAACAAATCAACATCTCTGAAACAGTTTTGAGCTTGTATTGATGGATGAACCTGGCAAGATAATGAAGGTTTTGGCAGCGCATGCCGAAGATTTGAATTTTTCATGCCCAATTTACCAGCTGCTTCTTGTGGATGAGAATCTTGTGACTGATTATATTGGGAAAAGAAAACCGCATGCTTGCACTCACAGATCCACGTGTAGAAGCAGAAGCAGTCTCATATAATTGGAGTTTGTAATTTTGCCCCAGATGCAGCTCCCTCCATCATGTTGCATTCTGCTCCAGAGCAGAAGAAGGAGGGACCATAATGGCTCAGCGCGGATGTGCTTTGCCTGTGGAAGGTTCAAAGTTCAACTCTGGTAAAATATCAAAAAGTTGATGATGGGAAAGAGCCCAGCCTGGGACTCTGGAGAGCCACCAAAACAGTCAGAGACAATACTGAGTTTGATGCACATATAGCTTGACTCAGCACAAGTTGGCTTCCTATGTTGAGAGCCCCTAACCCTCCCAAATGGCTTTTCAGGGACTGCTGAAGCTGCATCTGTGAAAAGGGCAAATTGACAACACAAACACATCTATGTGCTTCCATTCATGAAAGTGGACCTTTGTATATCAATGGCGTTGACCCAGTAATAAATAAACAAGTGGCATTCTGCGTAAGCAGACCTCACTTTTGTTCCTTCATTCATATTTTGTTCTTTTCCTCAGGGCTGTTCAAACCATCAGTTCAGATGGTACAAAAGAATCTCAAAGGCTGTCCCAGAGGATGACGAATGAATGGAAAATGGCCAAAGTAGCCCTGGTTATCATCTTGCTTTATGTCCTCTCCTGGTCTCCATATTCGATGGTGGCTTTGCTGGCTTTTGCAGGGTAATCAAAAAATCTTGTTATGTCTGCGAGGGGCCTGGGGGAAATGAAATGAGAACAGAAACAGTGAATGAAGCACACCACAAATGGCCAACCAATGAATCCAGGTGCTTGACTGCAGGAAGTTCCTTATATTCGGCAGCCGTAACCAAAGTAGGGAAGATGATAAATGTGGCATGTGTTAGCCACACAACCCCCGGTATTTGATCTTATAGACACATTTTTTTTAGATTCATCTGGAATTGAGGATATTGGCCAGTGCAGACATGCAAAAAAACCCAAAACAAACCCTGAACCTAAACTTTCTCCATCTTCCCAGGGATGCTTTGACATGGAGACTGTATCACAGATAAAGTCACAGCTACCTAGGGGGGAAATCCCGCATTATTAATGGCTGAAAAAGATGCCGTTGTTGTGGCTGCAGAAATCATCTCCAGAAAGCTCAAATCATATCTGTGGATGGCTCTTGAAGCTGGCTTGGAAGTTTCAACTGGTGCAGAACTCTGTAACTCAGTTTCTGATCAGAGCAAAACAAAAGAAATGTATCTCCAGCTTAAGCTCAGGAATGCTGGCTGGCTGATGCTTGTTTCAGCTTTGGGTAGGAACGGCAGGATATTAATTCCATAAATAAACAAGCTGGAGTTTGGCTTCACAACTGCCGTAAGTTCCTTGTGGTCCTCTTTCTCTGAGATCACAGGGAAGGTTTTTGCCTGGCCGTCCACCCATCCCTCCTTCAGTCATGGAACCCCTAGTGGCACACAGGTTGTTCCACCCAGACACTAACCATATCCAGACTTGCTGTACTTCAGTGATATGGTGGCCTTATGTGCCTCCATATCACTGTCCCCCAGTAAAATTAGAAAAGGTCATGGCTGCCTCCTCTTCATCATTCACACACCATAGAACTGCTTACCAGCGGAAAGCCACATGACCAGTTCCATAGCACTTCTCAGCTAACAGGTGAAGATGTTCCCATTTCAAAACACTTTTGCTACCGAGGCATATGCTGTTCATTCCACTTGTTGCTGGGCATTCCTTCCTGCTCTTCCTGCTTTTACTCCAGCTGCCACTTTTTTTGTTGATTTTTTTTTAATGGCCACAGTGTTCTTTTTCGATTGCTGATGCTGTGCTTTAGCGATTTGTTTTTTTAATTGCTTGTGTGCATTGTTTTGCAGTGTTGGACAGGTGATGTTGCTGTTTTAATAGAGGATCTTGCTTTTAATCTACTTAATTATCTATTTAATTATGCCGTTGCCGAGTTGCTGCTTCAGATCAAGGTTTTTCATTATTTTAAATGCATGCCTTTGGGCAGGGAGGAGGCTGATAAATCTGTTTTCCATGTGAATGTGCTCCTAAGTTCAGCCGAGGTGCATCATTTAGAAGATTTTGCGTGTCTGAATTTACCCAGTGTGGACTAGCACTTTGAAGAACTTTGTGGAGGAGCATTCGAAAGTGCAGTATGTTATGTAAAAGGGGGAAAGGGACAAAAACCATACCCTGGCAGAATTAAATCTAAGAAAGTGTGTTTGCTTTGCTTTAGGTACTCCCATGTGCTCACTCCCTTAATGAACACAATACCTGCAGTGATTGCCAAAGCTTCATCCATCTACAACCCAATCGTTTATGCCATTGCCCACCCCAAATACAGGTAAGTTTCACCTTTTGTAAAGAACTGGGGCTTGCAACCAGTGACAGGTCTTCTTTTAGGGCAACCGCAAGCAATACGGGATGCCACTCCTGTCATATTAACACTATCTTATATTTAACATCTCACTTGGTAGGTGTCAGCAGCAAAGGTTTCCATGCCAATGAGCGAGTGGGCTCATGGAGGAGGCCCTGATCTCTCTGTTTCTCCTCTGTCAGTCTGCTTGGTTTCTACACTGGCTAAGGAGGGAGGGAAACCCATCCATCAGACCCATCCCTCCTCCACCAGCCCACAGTGAAAAGGCAAAAATTGTTTTACTAGCTGCTCAGAAGCAAAGGCTTCCCTCTGGCCCCATGTCATGTATGGAAACTGATGGAAACCCATATCACCTGCCTAGTAACTATTTACAAGTGCACATACAGGGGATTTAAGCAGGTGCAGCTTTTCTCACAAGCAGCACCCATCGACAGCCCCCCTCTTATGCTCAGCTATACTCAACTGTCAAAAATCCCAGCATCTGGCTCCTCAAATTGTCTCCATCTTAAATGCAAAGTCAGAAAAAAAACCCAGGCAAAATGAGTTGTTTTTGCTGAATTGATGAAGTCTCTTTGCTTGACAGTTCAGATCATATGACTGTACAATGAGTGTGTGTATACACACACACACACACACACACACACACACACAGAGTTAACTGGTCTATGCATGCCCATGAAGTTTAAGATCAGATAGTTTTGTTGTTCGTAAGGAGAAAACCAAGTAGCAGCAGGGGACCCCATTGTCAAGCTGCCACACATGGACTGCTCACCCACCATGTGGAGATTCTGCCAGCTGAAATGAAAATGCAAGTGTCCGTTCCTTTTTGTATTGTCCATTCCCTTTTGTATTGACACACTCCTGATCTAGCAAGGGTGATGCCTGACTGGAGGCAGCTTACATGTCGTATGCAGGGACCTGAACCACATCTGCAGACCCAAAGAGTGCACATTCATCTGAGCAGCTTCATTTCACATTTCATGATGCAGATGGCAATCAGGATTTCCTGCTATATTTTGATACTGGTGGGAACAAACACCATCAACATGTGTTTCTGCCTGTGAATGGGCTGATGCACACAACTGTAAACTGGATTCCACAGTGCAGTCATTTCCTTTTACAGTCCAGTAAGGTCTTTAATTCAATATGGCCTCTCTCACGCTCTTCCCCTCTCCCTCTCTGAATGAATGTACATTTTTAGCTTGTGTCGGAAAGGACAGGAATGTTTTAGTCTGTGTTTTGTGCTTGCAGAGGTAGAAAAAATACTGATGGGCTTAATTTCTTGTCCTTTAGAAAGGCGATTGCAAAATTTCTTCCCTGCCTTGGATCTCTGCTGAGGGTTTCTCATAAGGACTCCAGATCCAACAGCTTCCCTTCCACCAGACGTTTCACTGTCACCAGCCAGTCCTCTGATATGAATGGGCTGCCAAGAGGAAACAGACGGCTCTCCTCTGTCTCAGACAGCGAATCTGTAAGGATAAGCTTCATCTACATTGTCTAATCTACAGTATCAATGAAAGGGGTGCGCAGCAAGCTGGTGGGCATAGATTAGACGTGTCCATGCTTAAGTCGTCAGTGGGGAACCCTTTCTCAGCCCAAGGGCCACATTCACTGGTGAGGAATCTTCCTGGGGCCACATGCCAGCAGCAGATGCAGTCAGAGGCAAACACTAGCCGAGCAATGGATGTTGTTCTACAATGACTTCAAGTTACAATAAAGGGGGTTCTGACTAAACATCAGGAAGAACTTTCTGATGGTAAGAGCTGTTTGACAGTGGGATGAACTCCCTTGGAAGGTGGTGGACTCTCCTTCCTTGGAGGTTTTTAAGCAGAGGTTGGATGGCCATCTGACAGGGATGCTTCAGTCGTGATTCCTGCACTCCTTGGGGTCCCTTCCAACCCTACGATTTTATAACTGAGAGCTCAAAATCTCTGGAATCTCTCTCTGCAGGTCTACAGATCTGTATTACTAAGCCCCCAAAAGAGCTTCCATGTGGTCAAGAAGCCTCTGGCTGGCTGTAGCAGCTATTAGATAGCATTATGTATGTATGTATGTATGTATGTATGTATGTATGTATGTATGAGAGCCAGTGTGGTGTAGTGGTTAAGAGCGGTAGTCTCGTAATCTGGGGAACCGGGTTCGTGTCTCCGCTCCTCCACATGCAGCTGCTGGGTGACCTTGGGCTAGTCACACTTCTTTGAAGTCTCTCAGCCCCACTCACCTCACAGAGTGTTTGTTGTGGGGGAGGAAGGGAAAGGAGAATGTTAGCCGCTTTGAGACTCCTGAAGGGGAGTGAAAGGTGGGATATCAAATCCAAAACTCTATGTATGTATGTATTTACCAATACCGCCCTATACCCATAAATCTCAGGGCGGTTCACAATATAAAAAACACAGAATACATAATAAAAATAAAAACAAAGACAACCCAATAGTCCTCCTGTCCACAAACACATTTAAAAGGGCATCAGATGTCAATCAACCAAAGGTCTGATTAATGAGAAACATTTTTGCCTGGCACCTAAAGGTGTATAATGAAGACACCAGGCGAGCATTCGACAGGTGGGGACCCTCTGGTGCTCCAAGAAAAATCCCTGAACTGCCAGCAGGTGAATGAGGGGGTTCGCAACAGCACAGCGGAGAGAAGGCTAAGAAAGGACTCACCAACAGTAGCACCTGCTACAGGCAGCCAGAGGCTTCTGGTCATGTAGAGCAGGAATAAGGAACCTGTGGCCATTCAGAGGTTGTTGGACTCCAGCTTCTATCCGGCCCTGCCAGCATGGCCAATGGTCAGGGGTGATGGGAATTGTAGCCCAGTGATATATGAAGGCCCCCCACCCCTTATAAAGAGGCTCTTTTTAGATTCCTTGTCTGATCGTGGCTGAATTCACCTAAAGTCTGAACTTCTAGTTCACAAGATTTTTGCATACATAAAGAGTGAAGTATTACTTGAGGGAGGGACGCGGGTTAAACCACAGAGCCTAGGACTTTCCAATCAGAAGGTCTGCAGTTCGAATCCCCATGACGGGGTGAGCTCCCGTTGCTCGGTTCCTGCTCCTGCCAACCTAGCAGTTTGAAAGCACCTCAAAGTGCAAGTATATAAATAGGTACCACTCCAGCGGGAAGGTAAACGGCATTTCCGTGCGCTGCTCTGGTTCGCCAGAAGCGGCTTAGTCATGCTGGCCACATGACCCGGAAGCTGTACGCTGGCTCCCTCGGCCAATAAAGCAAGATGAGCGCCGCAACCCCAGAGTCGGTCACGACTGGACCTAATGGTCAGGGGTCCCTTTACCTTTATTACTTGAGGGAGGCCATGTCTTGTGTGTATTCTGGGGATGCAAAAACGCATATACCTGAACCACCTCCACATTACCGCCCTTGTTTTCCAAGCAAGGCAGGGAGGTTTTAAGCTCTCCACCTAGCTTACAGCGCTCTGAGAGGCTCTCACGAGATCTCACAGGGCCATCCAAGTTCCCACGAGACAATTCCAGAGCCCTGTGAGCAAGGCAGAGAGCTTAAAAGCTCTCTCTGTGCCAGGCTCTCTACCTTGCATGCAATTAATTTGCGCCATTTCAACAAGCCAGCTGTGCAAGGTTGCAATAGTGCAACCTACCGTATTTTTTGCACCATAACACTCACTTTTTTCCTCCTAGAAAGGGGAAATGTCTGTGCGTGTTATGGAGCGAATGCCTACGGGTGGCGGGGGGATCTGCTGCAGTCGTGAGCAGAGGATCCATGGTTCCCCTTCCTTCCCTCCTCCGTGGCTCGCTTTGAAACAGCAAAGCGGGAGAAGAGCCGCTGAGTGGGGAGGAGAGAGGGACAGAGAGCCTGCTTCTTTAAAGGAGCAAAGCGGGAGAGGAGAGGAGCCACTTACATGAGTGTAAGTGGCTCGTGTCTGGTTGGTTCCTTTAAAGCAGGCTCTCTGTCCCTCTCTCCTCCTAACTCAGCTCGCTACATAGCAGCAAAGTTTTTCAGCTTGCTAAGCCGGGGATGAGCGGGGAGGAGGGAAAAAAGCAGAGCCTGCTTGCTTTAAAGGAGCAAAGTGGGAGAGGAGAGGAGCCTTCTCCCCTTATACTCCTCTTCTTCATTATTAGCAGCATCCTTCTCCACACACCCACGCATGCTCCTTGTCCCTTGAGTGCTTTTCCTTCCCTCCCCACTTAAAACATGGTTACAAAGCACGGATCCACATGGATCCTCAGGATTTTTGCACTGGGTCACCCCAAATTCACCATCAGATCACATAGCATGTCCATGGCTACATCTTGCACCAAAAAAATCACACACCCACTGTTGCCTGGGGCCGCAAAAACGTGGTTACAAAGCATGGATCCACATGGATCCTCAGGATTTTTGCATTGGGCTACTCCAAACTCACTGTCAGATCACATGTCTGTGGCCACAGCATGAACCGCAAAACTCATACATCTACTGTTTCATTTAGAATATTTTTTTTCTTGTTTTCCTCCTCTAAAAACTACGTGCGTGTTATGGTCGGGCGCGTGTTATAGAGCGAAAAATACCGGAATTGCATGCAAGATGTGATCGTACTGTTCTGCAACAATAACATAGAATGCAGCCCTCACGGGGGAAGGGGGAAGGAAACGAGTTTGTGACGTGAGGGCTAATGCTTCTGTAGGGTGAAGCAGGCTGAATTTAGAAAGAGATTTGCTGGCAGATTTAGACAAATTGACAAATCCATCAACGGATCCCCCCTCCCAGCAACCAGAAGCTCTCAACAGCTTGCTGTATCACTGCTAAGTACTTAGTGGTTACTTGCAAAGAAGCCGGAAGTGGTTCTTCACTTTGGAATCTGAGAGACTTTCCTTCTGTGCTATCCAAGGCACAATAATGTGTTCTTTTTCAACCAGTTTTTTATTTTTTTAGACGAGCTCTAAAAACACAAAAATGCTATTATGCCCCCTAAGCTGTTACGTTTTTAGGTTAATGTTCTTTTAGGAGAGGCTGACATGCTCCGAATTCTTACAGGAGATGTGTGGGTTCTGTACTCCATCTATTTTATATCCCTGATTAAAAATACAACAAAGCAGATCTTGCTAAAATAAAGCCAACTTGGGAATGCCCATGTTCGTACAACATACGCATTTCTACATGAGACAAGATAAATATTTTAGTTTTTCCATGAATTATTTTTGTGGCTCCTTGTTGTTTTTCAGAACGGGCCTTTCTTTCCAGCAAGGCCAAAATCTCTCAGGTGTCTCTCTATACTTCAGAATGATTAGCCTGAAATGATGGCATCATGTAGATTTATTCTTATTTTTAAGCTCCTCTCTCTTTTTCACACTCTGATGTGCTGAAGAAGCAACAAAGCTATTGAGATAGGAAAGAGTCTTGTTGATTTCTGTGGGAGAAAATAAGTAGGTCGCAGTCATTGAGACGTCTGAGAGGAGGGAGAGCAAAACCTTCCCTTCCTTCTCCTGAGCCTCAAAATGGGTTTCAGTGGGGGGGCAGGGGGTAGATTTTGTTCTGATTGGGGTCCCTGAGCACAATAGCAAGCTGTCATTATGGTATACTGCCACCTGGTTGCCATTCCCTGCTGATAATAATGCCAATATAGTTCACATCTGGCAACCAATGCGCCCCTTTGGTTTCAGATATGACATGGGTAGACGGGTCTTTAAAAGCCCAGGACACAAATTTTCACAGCTATGGTGGCTCATTTACCAGAAGTATTGTATTTAGCTTTAACTCTGAAAGCGTATACAGTGGTACCTCGGGTTACATATGCTTCAGGTTACATACGCTTCAGGTTACACACTCCGCTAACCCAGAAATAGTGCTTCAGGTTAAGAACTTTGCTTCAGGATAAGAACAGAAATCGTGCTCCGGCGGCGCAGCAGCAGCAGTAGGCCCCATTAGCTAAAGTGGTGCTTCAGGTTAAGAACAGTTTCAGGTTAAGAACGGACCTCCGGAACGAATTAAGTACTTAACCCGAGGTACCACTGTACTTGATTTTGATCAAACTAAGCTCCCTAGAGCAAAACATACACCAGGAGGCTTAGTGGGGTCAGAATCGAGTATACACTTCCAGAGTTAATGATGAATACATTACTTCTGGTAAATGAGCAACCATAGCCGTAGGAGGGCCCTAAAAATTTGTGCCCGGGCTTTTTAGACTCGTCTACCCATATACTATCTGAAACCAAAGGGGTACATTGGTGCCAGATGTGAATCCCCCCCCAGCTCTCCTACCACACTACTGGGTGCCCATGGCATACAAAGGCCCTTCATCAGCTCAAACCACCACTTATTGCCAGGCCCAAGCGGAGGTGTGTGGATACAGCTTAGGAGCCAAACTTAGCTTCCATTCATGGTGGCCACCTAACTGTTTGGCTCCACCTCCAAATGAGCTGGCCAAGAACACACCAGCTAGACTGGTGACTGGGAGCGGCCACCGAGACCACACAACACCAGTCTTGAAAGATCTACATTGGCTCCCAGAACATTTCGAGCACAATTCGAAGTGTTGGTGCTGACCTTTAAAGCCTTAAACGGCCTTGGTCCAGTATACCTGAAGGAGCGTCTCCACCCCCATCTTTCTGCCCAGACACTGAGGTCCAGCGCCGAGGGCCTTCTGGCAGTTCCCTCACTGCGAGAGGTGAGGTTACAGGGAACCAGGCAGAGGGCCTTCTCGGTAGTGGCACCCACCCTGTGGAACACCCTCCCAGCAGATGTCAAAGAGAAGAACAACTACCAGACTTTTATAAGACATCTGAAGGCAGCCCTGTTTAGGGAAGCTTTTAATGTTTAACAGACCACTGTATTTTAATATTTTGTTGGAAGCCGCCCAGAGTGGCTGGGGAAACCCAGCCAGATGGGCAGGGTATAAATAATAAATTAGTATTATTATATTATTATTGTGCTGCTGCTCTGGTTTGCAGCTACAAAGGCTTTTAAAACTCATAACTTGTTTTAGGCCTTTAACAAAATCTGGGGAGGAGGATGCTCTGGCAGGGCACTGGTGGCTGTGGGGTGGGTCCCATCAGCTAAATCGTGCATAATGTCCCCTGAAGTCTGGCCCCGGCCTTGCTTGGACCTGCTCACCGTCACAACAAGACTATAATGGGGGCTAGTGACCAATGCCAAGGACTGAGGGTAATAGATATCAAATCAAGCATATTGGGGGGAAAGGTTTGGTCCAACCCAGGGTTTCCCAAACTTGGGTCTCTAGCTGTTTTGGGACTACAACTCCCATCATCTGTAGCTAGCAGGACCAGCAGTCAGGGATGATGGAAGTTGTAGTCCAACAACCCAAGTTTGAGGGACCCTGGTCTAACCATCTCCCTGATATCCTCAATGTTGTACAGAATGTTTATTATTTTCAGTCAAGGAGCACTTAAACCTGCAGCATATACTATGACAGCAGGGTGGGGTTGGTATGCGGTGGGACACAGAATGTGCACTTGGAAAAATGAGAGCACACGGGAGACACAGATTTATTCTGGGTTTTTTTTAAAAAAAAATTATTTGTAAACTTAACAAAGAAAAGGAAGAGGGGACATTTTTACAGAAATTAAATGAAATTGCTAATGAAAAAATAGTTACCGGTAAATTTGATTAAAAAGGAAAATAATATATGAGTAATACTAATAGTAACAACAACAACCCACCATCAGTTCACATTATGGATGCTGTAAGCATCAGTATGTATATCTAATGTAGAACATATAAATTGATACAAGCCTCCAGGTGCCCAAATAGGTATCCACACAAAAATGATGTTTATATGAAATACGTTCAAATGTAAGTAGCTCCGTGAGGTCCTCAAACCATTGCATAATACTTGGTGGGTGTTTTATCTTTCCAGGCAGAAAAGTATAAGACTCTTAGCAACCGTAAGGGCTTGCAAAATCCTCTTTTGTTGTCCTTATGTGTTTATTAAGCACTTATATGACAGACAGGGCTACAAGGGTAGAATGCGCTCCGTTTCCATACTTGAAACTTCCCAAACCATATTAAAACACCTTCGTTTGGACTGTAGCCTCCTCTTCTCTAGGCAGGTAACATTACTGCACAAGGCAGAGCCATAAATGAATTATCGCTGTAAAGTAGATAAAAACTACTGACTTCTTTGGAGATAGCATCACTGATATAGGGTGTAAGCAAGGAGCAAAGAACGCTGTGTGTTCATTGGACCTTTTTATTCTGTGCAGGGTGTCTGACAGGGCATTTGTGCAGTAGGAAAGTCTGCTTTTTAAAAAGAGGGGTGGATGGGGAGAGAGAGAGCCTGAATGGGTGCAGTCTCGGAACAGCCCCCCCCCCTCCTGATTTTGCTGATTGTCTAAACTGGCCCCAAGACAGGATTTGTTGGAGTCCCTTTCACATTTCTGGCTCTTTTCTCTAATGAGAGCCATTTGGCAAATAACTGAACTGATTGAGGGAAAGTCATTAAACCCAAAGAGACTCTCTGAAAAAATTTCATGCTGGCCTGTCGCTGCAGGAATGGACCGACACAGAGGCGGATATCTCTAGTCTGAACTCCAGAGGTGCTAGCGGGCAAGTTTCGTACGAGATGGGTGAAGACACCACAGCAGAAATGAACGATGTCAAAGTCAAATCTAAACTGAAAAGCCACGATTCAGGGATTTTCGAAAAGGTAACGAAACGTCCTATTGTCAGAGCAGACAGGTCTGCAGATCTCTGCCTCAGTTTGTATTATTCCATGTCAGTAATTTTTTTCTCTTTCTCTCTCCATCCCCTCCTCCCAAATGCCTTCAGTAACCTGTATAAGAAAGCTGCCATTAGGAGACTCAAATAGAGGAGAACTTAATAGTTTGTCCATTTCATTTGTGAGATATGCTTTCTCTTTTAAAAACAAGAGTGTTTCCCTATAGAAACCACAACAAGTCCATGCACATATCCTGGCTGGGTTGTGACACCACTCTAATCTCCTTCCTCTTCTCACACCTATTGGCACGATCGCAATCTCCAACACCAGCCCACAAGCAGCTGTCACCTATTTCATCTTGTTAATTTGAAAAGATGCCTGGCAGTCAAGCGACTCCCACTTCACTAATTGCGATGTTCACGTGTGCTATTCCTTTTGCCAGTTCTGCAGCATGGGAGATCCTGTGTCGCTAACATTGGAAGGGGAGGGTTGGCAGCAGCGCAAACCGGCAAATGCCGTGTGCCCGACAACTGTATGGAAATCATTATGCAAAGCACATGCCAAACATAAGCAGGGGAGACCAGTGCTGATGAGAATGTGCTGTGGGGAGCAATGAATCTTTCAAAAGAACTTGTGAGGCTTGTGGCAGATAAGATTGGGCAGAGCATTTTTAAAAAAGAAAAACTCTGCTGCCTGTATCATAACTTACCCATCCTGATGCAGCGTTTTCATGCCCAGTCCTGTCATTTGATGAACACTGGATAGCTCAGTTGGTTAGAGCGTGGTCGCAGGTTCGATCCCCATATAGGACAGCTGCATCTTCCTGCATTGCAGGGGGTTGGACTAGATGATCCTCAGGGTCCCTTCCAACCCTCACTCTAAGATTCTCTGATTCTCTGAACACTTAGTGGAAGTCTTAACACTTCCCCACATCTGAGAACACAAAGATTTGTCACAAGAAGAGCAGCACCCACCTTGAAGAACATTCCCCATAGTATTGTTCTCCTGCCCAGCATGTACCACTGAGTGCTCCTTCTAAGGGTGGAAACTGGTGGGATGGACCCAAGATGAGGGAAATTGTGTGCACTGTATGTGTGAATGCTGACAATGATAGGTGAAGACATTTTGGTTTACTGATCTGCCATAGCCATGCATAAACACATACCCTTTAATGTAGATCTGCCTGAAGCTGGTTTTTAACCAGGGCTACCGTTTCTGTCTTTGCAGCGGCCCTCTTTCTGTCCCTTTGACAGCAGCCTGGCATCCACATTTTCTAACAGGGGGACGTTTCCCTATCACATTCCATTGCTGGGATGTGCACAATGCTGTTGGTCCTTTCCATTCTGCACATCAGATTGCTGCTAAAGTCACAGGGGAATTGGCAAATTTAGTTTGACGCCCCTCTCCTCCTAAAAATAAACACCCGGCATTCTGTTTCCAGCTCTCCACCACTTTCTGTCACTGTTGCCCTCAGAAGGGCATCTTTGGCAGAATATTTGTACCTTTCTCTCTCTCTCTCTCTCTCTCTCTCTCTCTCTCTCTCTCTCTCTCTTTCTCTTTCTCTTGTGTTTTGGCTTGTTTTTATATGGTGCCTTTTGTTATGGAAAATCCAAAATACTGTTTCGCTTTCCTGTGACCGCAGTCGTGTCCCTCAAATAATGCGTTTCTATAAATAGTGGCTAGGATGGAACAAAGCAACATTGGGTCCAGCCAATGTTGCTTCTCTCTCCCCCCCCCCAATCACCCTCACCCCCATGCACAAAAGACACACTTTATTCAGCCTGCAACCTTTCTTTCCTTGGGTGCCTTTGTGTGTGCAAGTGGTTCATTTCCGCACTTGTCGCCCCTTCACCCCATCACAAATTTCCCTGCTTTTCCTCTCCTGTATTCACACTCCCAGAGGCGTTTGGGCTGAGTGCTGTGGCCCCAGGCTGTGCCCTTGGGGATCAGGGAGCTGTGTTCACCTGCTGCAGCTTCTATGGGCCTGCTGCTGTTTTGTGATTGGCTGCTGGAATAATCTATCCTCTGATCTCATTCGCTCTTGGTCCTGCAAGATGGGAATGGGATGGGGTGGTCCTTTAAACTGGGCATAACAGTATATTTATTTGGGACGCGGGTGGCGCTGTGGGTTAAACCACAGAGCCTAAGACTTGCCGATCAGATGGTCAGCGGTTCGAATCCCTGTGATTGGGTGGATCCCGTTGCTTGGTCCTGGCTCCTGCCAACCTAGCAGTTCAAAAGCACATCAAAGTGCAAGTAGATAAATAGGTACCGCTCCAGCGGGAAGGTAAATGGTATTTCCGTGCGCTGCTCTGGTTCTCCAGAAGTGGCTTAGTCATGCTGGCCACATGACCCGGAAGCTGTACACCGGCTCCCTCGGCCAATAAAGCGAGATGAGCGCCACAACCCCAGAGTCGGCCACGACTGGACTTAATGGTCAGGGGTCCCTTTAGCTTTTTAACAGTATATTTGGGCATATATTATCGTGTGCAGCACAGCACTGGTGCAACGGGTAGCCCCAGTCCTGGGATGGCCAAAAAGAATACCTAATAATTGGTCGCCCCTCATTCCTCATTTGGCCAGGGTCATAGTTGTACCGGGCACTGGGCACAATACATTGCACAGTTATTAAGAGAGGGCGCAATCATAACTTACATATGGAATTATCCTTCTCACGCAGCACTTAGAGAAGGATAGGACCATGCTGTGACAACTCCATATCCAGGGGTAAGAGCTGTCTGCACTGCTACACACTCTTTCTTTCCCTTCTTTTGTAGACTTCAGTGGATGCAGATGACATTTCTATGGCAGAGGTGAATATCCCAGATTGCTGGTTTCTTTTCATAGTGTGAACATTTCATGTGTTTCTTTCACATGAATGTGAAAGAATGGGATGGGGATGGGATGGGGATGTTCAGGGAAAGCAATGCAGACATGCCATATATTAAACACCTCCCACCTGACATGCTCAAATTTATTTATATCTCTGTCCATCCGTCTAATCCCGTGGTTCCCAATGCCCCGCAAGGGGGGGGAGGTAATTTGATTGGGGGGGCAATTTGGAAGCTTGTTTAAACCAAGTTAATGGCCTTGGAAGCTTGTTTAAACCAATTTAAATACAATTTGGAAGCTTGTTTAAACCAAGTTAATGGCCTAGGGACGCGGGTGGCGCTGTTGGTAAAACCTCAGCGCCTAGGACTTGCCAATCGCATGGTCGGCGGTTCGAATCCCCATGGCGGGGTGAGCTCCCGTCGTTCGGTCCCAGCTCCTGCCCACCTAGCAGTTCGAAAGCACCCTTAAAGTGCAAGTAGATAAATAGGTACCGCTTTCTAGCGGGAAGGTAAACGGTGTTTCCGTGTGCTGCTCTGGTGCCGGTTCGCCGGAGCAGCTTCATCACGCTGGCCACGTGACCCGGAAGTGTCTTCGGACAGCGCTGGCTCCCGGCCTCTAGAGTGAGATGAGCGCACAACCCTAGAGTCTGTCAAGACTGGCCCGTACGGGCAGGGGTACCTTTACCTTTAATGGCCTTTTAGGCTTCCTCCACATGCATAGGAGTTCACTTTTTGAAAAATAAGAATTATATGTCGGGGGGGTCAGGATTTTAGATATGCTTAGGTGGGGCATGGCCCCAAAAAGGTTGGGAACTGGTCTAATCCATCACATTTCTATCTCGCTTTTCCTCCAAGGAGCTCAAGGTGGACTCCCCTTCCTTGGGGGTTTTCAAGCAGAGGTTGGGTGGCCATATGTCATGGCTGCTTTAGTTGAGATTCCTGCATTGCAGGGGGTTAGACTAGATGACCCTCAAGGTCCCTTCCCACTCCACAATTCTATGATCACACTGCCAGAACGCCTTTCCCTGCCCACAGTTCCTGATACTGCTACTAGTTTGCACCCTGGCTATAGCTCAAATATCAAACTGGTTCTTTTCTGGCCTGTAATATGGTAGCGGTAGTGGTGCATATTGTTATATTTCACTGCTCAGTATTTGCCGCTCATTGTAAATCTTCTATATGCTGCATAGGGAGCATAGTTCAGTCACCACTGTATATTCCATAAGGCAAAGAGAATCAAAAATGCTTAGTTTCTTTTTAAAAATCCAGAAGTCTGCCCTCCTTTCTCTAGGACAGTATCTAGGTCTGGGTAAATCTGTTCATCCCAGTTTCTTGTTTCTCCAATTTTAAATTCAATTTGCCTGGTTTCTGCATCAGTCAGCGATTATTATTATTTTAAAAGTCTGCCCCTCTCTCCCAATGTACACCTTTTATATGCCATTTCCCCTAATAGACACATTTTTGCAAGCCATTTCCCCTAATATAATGCGGTTTTGAACAGTACTTTCACCAATATACACGTTTCTGTGTCCACTTCCCCTTAATATATGCTTTGTCTCAGACAGAATTATTGGTTAGAGTGCTGCATCACAAAATGGAGAAAAATATGGATTTTAGTTCACAGGAAGCGCAAAATTCTCCTGCATCTTTAGCAGTCGCTTCCTCCCTTCATTAGCTCAAACCTCTTCCTGCATTCATCTACTGCTACTTAGCAGGTGATCGGTTTTCACTCTGCATAGCTGGGATGGGTGAGTTGCTAGTTGGAAGGGTGCAAGCCTGGGCCAATCCACTATTTCACAGCCTCCATTCTCGCCCTGTGGAAAAAAAGAAAAAAGAATTTGCCAAGTTCAGAGTCTTGTTGCTGAAATCAACCCGCAGTCCTTAGTACATGTACATGCAATGAAAGTTGCAACCTTAATGCACCCTTAAATATTAAGTGGCGCTTCTGAGCAAACATGCATAAGACAGAGGTGGAAGAATACACTTTACTATGCACTGACATGGGGCTTACTTTTGAGTAAACATGCATTGGGGACAAGCCAGTGAATTCATGCCCATGTAAAGTGAAAAGGTGCTAAAGCCTCCTGCACTTTTGAGAGTTGTGTAGAAGAGGGAAATTCAACAGGTGCAGCTTACACAACCAGTGGCACTTGCTGAAATGCCCTCTTCTACACAATTCTTTGTGGGGCAGTGACCCTGTTTTCTTTTGCAATAGGCCACTCTATCCATGCCCCTGATTTAAAAATGACTCTTTGGGTTTCCTATGTGGAAACATGATTGTGGACGTTTTGCACAATTCTCTATATTGTTTCTTTAGGACTTAGCCTTTGGAAACTACATCTTTGGAGACAGCCTGGTAAGTTGCCATCCAGCTTTCAATAACCTGTGGGAAATGTGGACAATGTGGCCTCCCCATAGTGTTGGGCTGATGATGAAGCCAGACTTACAGGTACGTAGTCTTGGCATGATTCTGAATCCAGCTTTGTTGCTGGAGACCCAGGTAGCCTCTGGCTAGAAGCACTTTTCGCCAGCTGTAAGTGGTGCGACAGCTATAGATGCTCCTGGACCAGGAGAGCTTGACCACAGTAGTGTCATTGAAATTCTACTCAGTATTTTCCAGAGTAGATTCCAGTGTATAGTTAGCAGAGTAAAAACTTAAAACACATTGCAGGATCCCCCAAAAATAGACCAGAGGCAATGAATATTTTATCCAGCAGAGCTTTAACTGCCACTGAAGGCAAATAAGCATAATGGTCACAAATCTAGTACATTCAGGATTGACACTGTCCATAAGAAATCCAGTTGCAGCAGACTTATCTTAAACTTACAATAATTTATAATAAGTCTAAACCTTAACACTAAGCATACAATATACAGAACACCACACCAGAAGGAAAAAGATAGAAAGAGAAAGTGAAACCCAGGCTCCTCCTGGCCCCATTTTTATAGTCAGTATGACCTTGACTGAAAGAGATAACAGAACTAGTTTAAGCCAGCTGTACTCAGCTTCTCTGAAGGAATAACCCAGACATCATGAACCTTCTGCTTGTTTCTTTCACACAGAGAAGCTTCCAGAACCCTCTTGAATTAAGTAGAATAGGAAAGATCTCTAGCACATCAGAGCAATACTTTCTGTACTAAGAAATGAAAACTGACAAGTAGTTTGAGCACAATGGTGAATTCAAGGCTGAATTACTGCAATGCCTCTTTGCACAGCTTCTCTTTGTGCTCGATCTAGAAGCTGCACTTAGGGCAGAACACTGCAGCACAACTGCTGATGGGAGTGAAACCCTACTACAGATTACATCTCTGCTCAGAGATCTGCACCCGTTGCCAATTTACTCCCGGGCCAAGTTCACGATGTTACCATTAGTATATAAAACCCTTAACAGCTTGCAGGCTCACCTTACACCCATGTATGCCCACTCTATGCGTCAATCAGCATGACTGGCACCATTACAGGTGCTACCTAATGCTCGTTCCATAGTGGCAAGACTGCCCAAACATCATATATGATGTCATACAGAGGCAAGAGGCTTGGCTTGGCTGAAATGGGCTTGCGGTCCAAATGGGGAGCCGGCCAGGTCTAATTAGGCATGCGGTCTGGAGGTTGCTAACCCCTGTTGTAAATCTGTAGCATGAATCTGAGAACAGGTCTCTGCATGCAGCAGAATGAGGTGTCAAGAGTCCTGAGGTGTTAGAATAGACTGTGCCACTTCAGACTGCAAGGTGTGTGTGTCACTTTTTAATGCTTGACTTCCTTGCAAACCTTCCTTGCAAGTAGGAAAGTAGCATAGTTACTAGAACCATTCTAGACTCTAGAACCATTCTCCCTGGTGAGCTCATTTTCTTCCAGCAGGCAGGAGAATCTGGAAAATTGTAGCTCCTGCTTGCAGTCCAAAGTGGTGGAATGTGGCCAAATAGAGGCTGTGCCTTTAAAAATAGGGTTTTTCAGCAGATGTTGCATGCATTGTATCTACCTTGCTTCTTTGATTGTGGGGATGGACAAACACTGAACTCCTCTCTTGACATGCACATGGTTCTGAGGCCTGTTTTGACTTGGCAAGGGTGGATTCTCCCAATGCATGTGGCGAATATACATCGCTTCCCACCCACCCCATAGGCTGTTGTCAACTCAGGCACATTGTGTGTTAACCTCTTCTTTTTCGTACTTTCTTAAGACAGGTGACGATCAGTACACTTTTGGCGTGAGGGCAGAAGATTCTTGCTACCTCTCATCTACAGCCCAGATACCCAGCATTGTGGTAACCTACAGCAACGTCCAGCGAATGGAGCTGCCTTTTCAATCCAACTCTGACCCTTCGTGCTCCAGGAACTGTGGCTATAGCTGGAGAGGAACTCCAGCAGCCGGCTAGAGTGGCTGTGCCAGGATAGTGCCTTAGGTCCTGTGCCAGAGACCACACATGTGTCAGCTTAGTGTAGAAAACCTTCCAAAACATCACTGAAGCAGGAAGAGGGGGCAGAAGAATGAAAATGTAAAGATTCAAAAAACAGCTCCACGACAGTTAATTTGCTTACATGTTGATTGCGTCTCCACAATGTTTTGTGCTAATAAGTTGAGCATTTAAAACGAAACAGAGGTAGTAGCCCCGTTTTATCCTGAGAACAGGCTCACACATGAATCTTGTATGGACAGTCTACACCCAGCCATCCACAGATCGCAACTGTCAGGCAGGCAATCCCTGATAATGTCCAGCTTGGAGAGGCAGCAGGCAGGGAATCGGCTGACATGCCCAACCTTTTTTGACCAGTGGGGGGAATGTTGAGAAAGTGTTGCATGTGCCAGTCGCAAAATGGCTGCCATGGTGTGGCATAACACAAAATGGCTGCCA